TCTTTCCAAGGTGTGCCTCTTTAAAGTTTTCGTGAAGACCGAAGTTTTAAAAAAATATATATTTTTTGTTTTTTTTAAAGAGGCACAGCCCGACAGACCCTCCTCCAGGTCGCCTGCCGCGCGGGCCGCGAGAGAGAGAGAGAGAGAAAGAGAGAGAGAAAGAAAGAGAGAGAGAGAGAGAGTGAGAGAGAGAGAGAGAGAGAAAGAGAGAGAAAGAGAGAGAGAGAGAGAGAGAGAGAGAGAGACCTCAATGATGAGAGAATCATTGATCAGCTGCTTCCTGCATGTAACCTAGTGGGGATTGAGCCTGCATCCAGGCCTGTGCCCTAACCCGGAATCCAACTGTGACCTCTTGGTTCATACGTCAATTCTTAGTCTCTAAACTACACCGGCAGGCTGGACTGTTTTTTTGTGGGTTTTTTTTTTTTGTCTATTTTTAATATTCAGCAGGAGATATTTTTCCTATTGATTTTTAGTGAGGGTGGAAGGGAGGAAGAGAGTGGGATAAAAGGGGGAGAGAGAGAGAGAGAGAGAGAGAGAGAGAGAGAGAGATCAATGTGAGGGAGACATATCAATTGGTTGATTGGTTGCCTCCTGCACACCACAAAGCCATCATTAAAATCAAACTGTCTATAACCTCAAAAAGCTGTATCATGTCCCTTTCATAATTCTTCCTTCCCATTCGTCCTTGCCTTCCCCAATTCCTGTGCAAACACTGATCTGCTTTGTGTTACTATAGGTTAGTTTGCATTTTCTAGAATTTTATATAAATGAAATTGTATAGTATCTACTCTTTTCTAATTGGCCTCCTTTATTCAGCTGATTCTTTTAAGACTAGAGGCCCAGTGCATGAAAATTGTGCAATGGGGGGAGGGGGGGCGGGGGAGTGTCTCTCAGCCCAGATCTTGGTGGATGCCCAGTGACAGCTCCCTATAGGTAGTGGGCCTAAGCTAGCTCTTGAACATCCTTAGCATTGCCTTGGAGGCAGGAGTGGCTCTCGCCACCACCACCACCACCGCTGTGCTCACCAGCCATGAGCCCAGCTTTCTGGCTGAGAGGCATTCTCTCTGTGGGAGTGCACTGATCACCAAGGGGAAGCTCCTGTATTGAGCGTCTACCCCCTGGTGGTCAGTGCACATCATAGCAACTGGTCGTTCTGCAGTTTGGTCGATTTGGATATTAGTCTTTTATTATATAGGTTTAGTTTAGTCTATGTTGTTTTGCCTATCAATGTGTTTTTATTGCTGAATAGTATTCCATTAAAAATGGATATATCAGTATTTTTTAACATTGATGGCTATTTGAGTTGTTCCAATTTTTGACTATTACAAATAAAGCTATTGTGAATATTTATGTACAAGTCTGTTTATGGAAATATACTTCAATTTCTCTTGATAAGTGCCTGAAATTGGAATGGCTATGTCATACAGTCGGTGCATGTTTAAGTTTTTAAAAAAAACTATTTTCCAAGTAACTCCTTTGTCACTAATATAATTCTGTATGTTTCCATTTATAGTATCTTACCTAACCGTTTGGCCTGCTGCCTCTGCCAATTTAAAAACAATATTGAGGCTGTTGCCAAGATGGTCAAACTGAATTGTGAGACCGAATGTGTGACCGACACACCTTGTGGTGAGTCTCAATTGCCTGATGATAAACTTTTTAATTTTTATTTTGTTTTCATTTTTTATTTGTAATCAATGACAATACATTTTTAGGCAAATAAAGTAACTGTATTATTTTTATTCATTTACTCAGAGTTCAACTCTAAAATTTTAAGAACTTCTCTTTGCTAAAAGTCAGATGAAGGAAAGGGTATTTCCATTAATGGCCACATCGTGTGTTGTGCTCTCTGCTGGGTGCTTTGCTTCCAAATGAGAACTTGTTCATTAGTGTGTCACAGTTTGTAAACTCTTTTGTATGCATTAGGTTTCAATTTCCCTTTGCAGTGTACACAGATATTGATACATTTTTATTTTGTTTTTGCAAGTTTATGAAAAGAGTACAAATGATGCTGTTTTATGTAAGTTTTATTTGGAACCTGAGAGTTTTTGGATCCATCACCAGAAGCTGCTACCCAGCCCTTCTAAGGCATGGGAGGGCTCTTTCTTTTTAGATGTGCAACTCTGACCTTGCTCTGAAGCACAAGGTGTTCTATCCACCGAACAGTCGTGTGCTTTTAAGTATTTTTCTACACGTTAGGTTTATTGGCAGCTACTTGATAACTTCCCAAATGTGCTTTCATGCCCAGATAGCTTAAATACAAGTTTCTATCAGTGATCTGTGCTACTGATATAGAGTCAGTGTTGCTTATTTTTCAAAACAATGTTTTGACCAATGATATTACTCCCTTCTGCACCAACAGTGGGCAGAACAGGCATTTTCATCTCCTTTTAAGGAGAGTGAAAACAAGACCAGAAAGGGCTGACAGCTGTCACCTCGTGCCCAGGTCTCCAGCTCCCAGTTTGGGGCTCTCCGCAAGCCCATGCTCTTTCCCAGGACGTTACCTCCTTCTCTCACCCTTATCACCACCAGCAATGCTTTTAATTCTTCTGAAAATTCTTGTGTACCAGCTGCACAATGGTACACTGGACCTTCACACAGTCGGAATCTTTGGATGGTTCCCCAAGTACAGCTGAAAATATAAGAAATGACATGAAATGATAGCAAAGTAGGCATCTGACAAAAGTTATTTTTCCCTTATGTATTTTAGAACCCCAAGTATTATTCCATAGAACATTCCACAGTGGTACACAACCTGGCAAGTCTCTTAATGTACATCCCAGATGCCTGCCTAAATCTTAAGCACAGAGCGAGGGTAGACATATTGTTTTTTCTGTATAGAGCCGTCTGTTATGGGGCTGGCATATGTGAAGGCAGGGCCCAAGTGAGGAATCGGTGGGTTAGTGGAGAAGGGTGGGTCCAGATGAGGACGTGTTAGCCATGGGTGTTAATCGTGGTCATCTGTGATGGTAGCAAGAACACAAGCATCCTGAAGAGTGGAGAGAGGAAGGCTCAGGCTCCTTCTGCATCTGAAGCAGGACAGGATGGGTGCGTGAATGTGAGGAGTTCACAGTAGATCTGCAGAGCGTCTAACTGAGTGGGTCTTCCAGCCCTGGCTTTCCTCCAGTAACCGGCAGTTGGCCCTTGGGGACCAATGGAATAATCCTAAATATAGTCACCATATGTCATGCTAGGGAATGCTCTAAGTAAATAATCACTTTAAAAAAAGAGACAGTTTCTCCTTTTGTTTTGTCGACAATCATAGATGTAAGTTGGGGTTTATATTTCTCCTCTACAAATGGCACTCAGATACTTGCTGATTCCCTATATATTGGACTGGGATGTATGGCTGTGGACTGACAAATAGCCATCCCGTGAGTCTTTCAATATCAAATGCCATTTCTTCTTTTTTGACAGATGAAGAACTCATAATAGAAGGACCGCTAATGAACACATTACAGGCCTGGAAGGACACCAGCACTGAGCTGACCATTGAGCCAGAGAGGGCATCCTCAGTCAAAAATAGGGACGCTTCCGCATCCATTATGAGTGAGCAGCTAGACTTAATGATAAAAGTGATGTTAATAGTGCACTAAATTACCAATTGCCTCATTTCTTGGAGGGAAATCTAGAAGATATAGAATCAACTTTATTACCATTCATTAAACTGCCTCTTTCAAATGTACATGATGCAGAAATGTCCCTGAATCATTTGAAAAACAACAGATGAAATCCTTCTCTTAAACCTGAACTTAACCATTCAAGTTTCAAAAATTAACCGAGGAAACTCTTTTCTGGAATAGGCCTTCTGATGAGACTGCTCACTGAGCAGCAGGAAGTAAAGATATCCAACTCAGAGTGGGATGAGGAACAATGGAAAGATGAGAGGATGCAAACCCTCAAGAAGCAGGAAGAGAGGGTGTCTAATGAGGTAAGGACAGGTCCTGAAACACCTGACCTGGGCTTTTAGTCAGTTTAGGACAGTGATGGAGAACCTATGACATGCCTGTCACAGGTGACACACAAACTCATTTTTTTGGTTGATTTTTCTTTGTTGAATGGCATTTAAATATATAAAATACATATCAAAAATATAAATCTTTTTTTTTCTATGGTTGCAAATATCAAAAAATTTCTATATGTGACAGGGCACCAGAGTTAAGTTAGGGTTTTTCAAAATGCTGACACGCTGAGCTCAAAAGGTTCGCCATCACTGATTTAGGACATGCCATGAAAGTACCCAGGTAGGAAGACCAGGAGCACCTCCTCTCAGTCGTGTCTTGATCATGTGACTTTGGCTTAGACAGTGATCTTCCACTTTGCTCATTTAGAGATTTGTGCCACTGTTCCTAGGGTAGATGAGAAGAGGACGTAAATTCTAAAATAAACAAATTGTACAAGAAAATGCTAATGATCAGATTACATAGCATCAGATGTGGTATGTTCTTTAAAAACCTATAAGATTTGGTATATTGCTTAAGAACCATGTGGAAAGGTGGGGTTTTAGAGTAGTAGTTAAGAATAGCTAGCAATTCATTAGAATAGACTAGAGAATAGTTTTTATGCTTTCCATATCTTTGTGGGTTTTTTTTAATGTTGTTGTTGGTGTTCTTGTTCTTGTTCTTATTCTCCTCCCCCTCATTCTCCTCCTCCTCCTCACCCTCCTCCTCCTCTTCTTCCCCTCCCTCTCCACCTTCCCCTCTTCCTCTCCCTCCTCTTCCTCTTCCTCCTCCTCCTTCTAGCTCAGGCAAGAAGTGCCAAGATATAAGAAGGAAATCATCATTGCATCACCTGTGATTGCAGTAACAACGTTTTATTTTGTAGTTTTCTGTCTCCTTGTGGTAAGACAACAGTTAATTCAGATTTCCAATATATAGTCCATCTTTGAGGAGGTTCAGAACCCACAACCTGAAAATCAAAGCCACTGTCCTGTCTACTCCTACTTGATACTCTTCTTTATTCATGAGCACTGAGATATGCTTTATTCTTTTTTTTATTACAAATTATATTCTTGGGATGTCTAAAGGAAGCCCACTCCTAGAAATCTCTGAAAATGAAATCAAGATAACAAGCCATTAGACCATTTTGAAAATATATATTTTTATTGATTTCAGAGAGGAAGGGAGAGGGAGAGAGAGATAGAAACATCAATGATGGGCTGCCTCCTACAAGGCCCTTATTGTGAGCAAGCCCGCAACACAGGCATGTGCCCTTTACTGGAATTGAACCTGGGACCTTTCAGTCCACAGGCCAATGGTCTATCAACTGAGCCATACCAGCCACTAGACTATTTTGAAACTTAAGTTTGATAGGCCAGATTTGATATGATAGCAAAATTTCTTCAACTCAAAATGAACTAGGTTGAGTTGATGTACTCACCAATTACTCTCTTCCTGATTTCTTACTTTGTTGGATAAAATGAGGAGAGATATAGAATCTCCAACCTCACGGAGCTATGTCACCCTAGCAGATGGAACATGGCATAATGATAAAAGTGTGATCTTGTCAATTCTTAAGGTTTACTTAGCAGCTTTCTCCTCCAGTGTGTAAGGCATGGTGTTAGTAGGTTCAGTTAAAACACTGCAACCTAAATCCTGCATCAGGCTTCTCTAAAGCATGTCATGTTAGAGTCACCTGTTCCTAGAGCTTGTCTGTGTCCCTTTTGTTCAATTACATAATGGTGTACTTTCCCTACAGGCAGATTGCTGACATTAAAAGAACGATTTAGTAAGCTGACGATCTTGACTCTACCCCATAAATCCAACATGATATATTTTATTTACCCTTTCAACAGTCATGGCAGCCTTCCATTCCAGCCAAAGCCACCCTACACCATAACCTAGCCACACCAGCCCCATTCCCACTTTTTTAAATGCCTTTGCCCATCAAAATTCCCTTATTGTGTTCTCCCTGGGGAAGTCCGGTGAATATCTCAAAAGCCAGCTCAGGTTCATCTTTCTTCATGAAGCTTTCCCAGAGTCTTCCAGCCATGCTGTTCCTAGTTTTTTTGTGAGCTGTGTCACTATTTTTCTTTGAGGTAATAGTAAGGCAGTTCCCTCCCCTGAGAACTTAAAAATGTGGTAAACCATTTTTTAAAATGTGCCTCCCCAAGAGAGAAATACCTAGGTGAACACATCATGGAGCAGAGCAGAGATGTGTAAAGACCAAGTGGCTTCAGACCTATATGTTCCTAAGACTTTTGAAATATCACATTTTAATATTCTAATCTGTGGAAGAAAATGAAAAATGGGAATAGAAAAGCCACCTAATTATTTGAGAGGGAAAATAATAGCAGATTTATATTCTCATCTTAAACAAACATATTTACAAAATGTAAAAAAAAAAATAGAACCTGTATAAGTACTAGAAGAAAACAGAAGCAATATATTTATAATCTGGTGGTGGGAAACAGCTTTTTGAGCCTGATACCACAGGCAGAAATTTGATAGATTTGACCACTTTGTCTGTGACACCATTAGCAAACTTAGCACTGGTTGATGCCAAGCACAGGATGAAGATTTTTCCATATACATGAGTGATTCAGTCCCCACAATCCTGTGAGGAAGATAGTACCACCTTCTCCCATAGATGGAGATGGACTTAAGCTCCCAGTGGCAAAGGCAAAAGCAGGACCCTGTTCTGCCTGACTGCGAAGTCTGTGCTTCCTACTCCACTGTTCTGTCTCCTTAAAGACAAAAACACAGGCCATGGCCGCTGTTTCTCAGTAGTTAGAGCATCAGTCCAAGCACCGAAGGGTCCCAGGTTGATTCCAGGACAAGGGCAGGTACCTGGGTAGCAGGGCACCTGCCATGCAGGAAGCAACCAGTTGATGTGCCTCTGTCACATTCCTATTTCTCTGTCTCTTTTTTCCCTCCTGCCCCCTCCTTCCCACACTCTCTGAAAAACAATGGAAAAAATATCCTTAGGTGAGGATTAACAACAACAAAAAAGAACACTGGGGAATATTTGAAACATTGAAATTCAATGAAAGCCACTAAGGATTAAGTTATTGAATGTAAAAAGAGTTCCATAATTAAACAGGAAGAAGACAATCTAGGGTGGAAGAGGGCAAGGGCTGTGAAGAGTAGGCTGTGTGTAGACAGTCTGTCACCATATCTGTCGATATTCTCTTGGTTTATAGGGTGTGGATTTTATTAGCGAGGTCTTTGTCACCTCACAGTATGAAAGTAGTCTGATATTTTCTTCTAGTCCTTTTTGTAATATTTGGGTTTTTTTTTCTCAAATTAAAAAAAACTATCATTGGTTTTATTTGCTTTTCTTGTGGTTGACTGTTATTCCCCTACATGAAGATCCAATCGTCTTAACATGTTTTATTGAAGATCTCATTCTGTCTTCACTGATCTGAAATTTACCTTTCTGTGGACTGTATTCTGTTGACCCAGTTATCTTTGTTTTGTACCAGTAGAATTTATCAGTAGCAGTATCAATATATATATATATAATGATATAGACATATACATATATCTGTATATATATATATTTATATATCTATATCTATCTATCTATCTATCTATCTATATATGTATATTGCTTTCAGGGAGGAGGGGAGAGGGAGAGAAAGATAGAAACATCAATGATGAGAGAACAATTGATCATCTGCCTCTTGCACATCCCCTGCTAGGGATCAAGGCTGCAACCCGGGAATGTGCCCTTGACCAGAATGGAACCCAGGATGCTTCAGTTTGCAGGCCAATGCTCTATCCACTGAGCCAAACTGGCTAGGGCCTGTGTCACTATATAATTCCTGTTCCATTTTAAACTCCTTTTTGGAAGTTAAACTCCTCCTTTTTTATCTTTTTCATACATTTCATTGCATATTTTCTCTACCAAATGTCAGTTGGTCAGTTTATGTTTAAAACTTATCTTGGAATTTGAATAGGATTACAGTGCATTTGTAGATTAATTTAAGGAGAATTGGCATCTTTACTACCTTCTAGGAACATGGTACCTCACTTTGTGTATTCTTTCTAAAGTCCTTCAGAAGAGTTTTAATGGGTCTTGCACATTTTTTGTTAAGTTTATTCCATTATACATTTTATTGATATTGTAAATGGACTCTTTCATTTTTTTATTAGTTATTTGTGGTATGTAGGAAAGCTGTTGAGATTTGCATGTCTTGATTTAGCCATCTGACTGAATAAAATTTTAATCTATGCTCTTGGGCTTTTTAGGTTGTGCATTATCTCACGTGCAAATATGTTTTGTCTCTTTCCTTCCAGTATTTCATTTTTCCTATTAAATTAATTAGGACCTCCTCAACAATGATGAATAGTATCAGTAATAACAGGCATCCTACTCTTGTTCTTGACCTAAAACAAACCTGCTGTGTAGGTTTCTGGTAGGCACTTTCATTTTCTTTGCTACTTCTAAGAGTTTTTATCAGGAATTATCTGCTGAATGTTATCTGAAACAGCCAATAAAATGCATTGCCAGCTGCATGCAAGATCCTAAGTTAGGACTATGGGAGAGTTAAAGGACTAGACAGAGTTTCTGTCCTCAAAAAATTAATCATCTCACTTAAAAGAGAAGGAATAAAGCTTTAGAGGTCATTTTGCTGAATAATCATGACGTTTTCTTCCAAAATAGATTTTTCGGAGGAAGCTACAGATAAAGGGAAGCTCAAGGTAAATATGGGTCTGGTGATTTTTAAAGTAGAATTTTTTAAGGAGAGGAACTTCCTCTTTCTGTAAGAGGCCAGAGGTGACCTCAGAAAATGGCTAATTATTCACTTGAGTCAGAAAACCCCACAAAATCATGAAAGTCAAGAGATTTAAACCTTTGTGTTCACTTTAAGGACACTGGTGAAAACTACACAGGTCATCAAGGGTATGCATATCTGAAAACCACCAAGCATCTGAAGGATGTCACCTTATAGGAGCAATGTGTGCCATTCTGTCATTACAGTGGTGGAGTTGGTAGGCGTGCTCCAATGGAGGGGCTGGGTGCAGGATTGGGTGCAGGTTGGTGACCCCAAAGAGTGCTGAATTTTTGCTGCTGTTAACGTAAAAAAACCATTGTAAAGAATTTTTTTGAGTTTATTTGAGCCAAACTGTCAACATATGCTGGGAAGTAGAACCTCTAGGAATTGAGGTAATGCTCCAAAGAATGGCGGGTTACATCTGTATTTATACATTGCAATCAAAGGAAAGGGATGTAGGTGGATTACATGAAATCCACTGGTGATAGATTAAGGAGGTGGGATAAAGCAAAGCAGGAAAACCTCTGGGATAGGAGAAAAAGTGAAATGATGGACATGTGCTGCTTTTACATAGATGGATACAGGACAGTTCAACATAATTAACAGTTGACGATTAACTTGATAACATAACAATGAGGGAATGTCTTGGTGCTATTTGTTGCACCCTGAAAGGTCCAGAAAAAAGAGGAATTTACAAGTTACCCAGACATTTCACAGATATGTTATCTTAGAGGCAAGAAGACAAATGGGCTCAGTAAAGAGCTAAGTTGATCTTTGTCAGGGAAAACACTGGCCTAGGACATGAGAACCCACTATAACCTGTGTGTAGTTAAATACTTAATTTTCAGACCATCTTTTGTGGTTACCTTAGGTCTCTGAGTCTGCAAGACTGCCATGCAGACCTCCCCTGAGCTTGTCTGGTTAGGTGTGATCCCTTTTGTCCACACTGCACATGCTTAAAAATGCAGTAACACACTGAAAATCCTGCCTATATCCTATGCGAAGCTACATACATAGGTCCCCCAGAGACATTGCAGGGCCATTTTAAACTGTCACAGAGAATTGGAAGCCCAGCATGCAAGGAATCATTTTCAAGGGCCCAGGTGTGTGGTGATTTTGCTCAGGAATATAGACCCAAGTACCCAATTAGTCCGAATAAGACCAGAACTATATGTGTGAGAGACATGGAGAATGGCATGAATCACTAACTGTTGGTATGTATTTTCCTCCAAGCAGCCTTTTCTCCGGATTCACATCTTCGTCTGACATTGATATAGAGGTAAATTTGAGGAGGACAAATTACTGTGGTGGGACAAAGCAGGGGAAATGTAGAGTTCATGTCTCCCCATCTGTTTTCTAGCAACATGGATTTTGGAGCAGGCGGTTGTTTACGCTGAAGCATGTATTTCGCAGGAAGCAAAGCAAAAAGGGGGAGCAGAAGGCACAGGAGCAGGAACCGTTCTTGAAAACGTAAATAATTGGGAACACTTAGAATTCTTATCTAAAACGAGGAAATAATGAATAGTTTAATTGTATCTTTTAAGAGTCAAAGCCTTGACCTTTGTCTTCTTCTTACTCCAGGGAGCGGAGTAAATCTGCTGATTCCTTAAGGAGGATGGACACGTCCGAGTCTGCTTCTGACACAGATGGGGAAACTAGCGCCTGATACCTTCACAGAGCAAGGCCATCTTCTGCCTAATTAAACATGTATTGCAAATGTGTCAGTTCATAGCTACCTCTAGAATTGGTGTAAGGAATGAAAGTGTAAATAGTCAAGTATTTATATGCAAATGAGAAGGGCCATAGGCAAGAAAAGCAGGGCTGAAGCTGGAATCCCTGGGGAAGCCAATACTTCCTCAAGCAGCAGTGTGGTCCAACCAGGTGAAGAGGTCTTCTCTCCCTTGTTTCCCCAATACATTCAGTCCCTGAGAACTGGCAGACACCTCCTCTCCCAGGGGTATAGGGCAGTGGTGGGCAAGCCCTGGCTCGCGTGCCAAACAGAGCACGCCAGTAACATTTGCTGGAACTTGAAACCCTCTCTTATAATCTTCCTGTTAGGTTAGGTGGCTCAGGAGGCGGCGTAAGAAATAAAGAGTCGAGTGAATCAGAAAAGAAAAGGGTTATATCTGCATCCCCGGGAGACCCACGTACCCAAAAGACAGGGCACGTGGATTCACACCAACGGGGGGTGGGGGGCCTTTTTTTATACTGTGGTTGGGTGAGGGGCGGGGACCTGAGCTGAGGTATTTAGCTGAGGAAGTTTCAGCTGCAGAGGGTCAGCAAGGTATTCAGGAAGGAGTCAGTATCTGTGTGGGGGTGGTCAGGGAGAAGCCAGTATCTGTGTCTGGCATGCTGATCTGTGAGAAATTCCAGGGGAAGTCCATTGTCTCATCACATGACTGCATGTATCTGATCCTGGGCTCTCTCAGACCTAACATCCTGGCCTTTTGGTGATAGGGGACGCCGACTCATTCTGGCTACTTCCAGTTGACCAGGGACTTGGGGGGGGGCATTTAAAGGCCAGGGTCAGGTAGAGGCAGGTCGGAGGGGAGCCGAGTGTAGGGATGAAGCAGGAGCTGATTCACAGCCACCCGTGACATCTCCGCAATCCGGGAGTGGATGAACTTGAGGAGGCAGGGGGCTAGGAGAAAAAAGACAGATGAGAATCAGGGGCCCTAACCTGGGTAGGACCCAGGTAGCTAAGGGGCTTTGGAACCAGCTGAAAGGAGAGTTGTCCTGGAAGTGTCCTGCATGTAGTTCTTCATTCAGCTTAGTCAGGGTCTGTACGTTTTACTCCACTACTCTGGTCTCCTTGACGTAGTAGCAGCATTCTTCCTGAAGGAATATGCAGGTTCCTCCTCTTTCTAAGGTGCTCTGGTTCTGTAGGGCTACTTGGGCTGTAGGGCTACTTGGGCTATTGATGTTATGTGTCGCAGTAGGGATGCTAAAGAAGCAGTAGTGGACTCCAGGGCTAACTGGAGCTTGTCATTAAAGTCCTGAGCCATGACGAGACTATTCCTGAGGATACCCCCCCCTCCCCCCCCCCGCAAGGCCTATGGAGGTAGCTATACTCCAGTGACAGGGAGGAAGGTGGCTTAGCGGGCCCGGGGGCTGGATGGAGGGAGCAGCTAGGCGAGCTCCGACTCTCCATACAAGGTTAGTTGGGGAACTACCATGACCACGAAGCAAGGACTGGGGTCAGAGGAGTTTATGCAGTTGCTTAAGATGCCGTTGTACCAAAAGAAGTTACCCAGGCTGGCCTTGGTGTGACTGGATGTGATGTAGTTCTGGGTGCAGTTCCAAGTGACTCGCCCTCCGATTACTGGATTACTGGTCTGGTAACATATCCGTGGGGGCAGGGTGGGCTCTGGAGTTTCAGGTTCACAAAGGGGAATGCCAGCCACAGGAGGCTGACATTCACCTTTCCCTTGGGTTCTTGGAGAAGTCGTGAGTGGGACGGCAGCCAGCAAAGACCTTTGGAGAGAGGTGCATAGAAAGCAGTGGGAGACGTTGGGCAGGGTGTGGGTCTCATTGAGGAATAGTAGGGTGCGTTGAATAAGTTGGAGCCAAGAAGAGAGGACTTCTACTTGGGGGGAGTCAGGCAGCTTCCCTTTAAGGGACTGCTCGGCCTGTAGGATGCTGTTGGAGACCTGGACTTGGGCCTCTTGGGCCAGGTCATATTCCCGGGAGATGTAAATGGTCCCTGAAGGGGTTGAGCTCCAACTACTTAAGTGTAGCTTTCCAACAACACCTGTAACCCATTGCTGGTCTCAGGGATCTCGGATTATGATGTGGAAGGCCCCCTTCTCCCCGATAAAGGAGCCACCCCTGTAGGCATCATTGACAACACAGTCTCTCCAGCGGCAACCCCCATAGGTGTCAACATCTTGATTACACCTGTCTGGGTCCTCTTGGTCATAAGCAAAACAGGCATAGGGTCAGCCACCATTGTATACTGACCGGATGTCGACAGTCACCCTGATCCCTGTCTGGCCTCTGACCAGGGGGAAATCCTGAGATCCTACCTGCTGGGTGACTTGTTTGCCGTTCTGGTGGTAGGTTTCATGGACCTTGAACCTCCACACATAAGCAGGTAGGGGTTGGTGTAGGTTACTCAGGGCCAGGAGGAGGAGGAGGAGGAGGGGGTGGGCGGCTAAGGCGGACTTTAGTGGGGCCCAACACCTCACATTTACAGAAGTCATGCTGCTCCGGAGTCCTCTTGAGCCTGGAGAGGTGGTGCCACGATGGGTCACCGAGCAGCTTGGCTGCGGTGGGTGTTGTAAGGATCACGATGTGAGGTCCCGTCCACCTAGGCTCCAAGGCTTGTGGATGTAGGTTCCCAGGGGAGGAGGATCAGTAAGGAGACGGTGGTTGAGCAAGAAGGGTCTCCCATATAGGAGTTCAAAAGGACTTAAGAAGGCGGGGCTCCTTGGTGTAGCAGAGTTTGGTCAGGGCCATGGGCAGGAGGTCTGGCCAGGAGCTGTGAATTTCTAGAGAGAGTTTAGTTAGATGGTCCAATTCGTTGGAGTTGAATGGCTATGATGAGGGTTTGAGCCAGTGGCAGACAAATCCAGCAGGATGTAGAAGAGGAGGGATTGATGTTGGAGAGTAGATGGAAAGTTGTGTTATTGAGGGTGGGCATAGGAGTAGGTCCAGGGTTCGTAAATAGAGAGTGACACTAGAGGATTTCCCATCCCAGACAGTAGAATTGATGACTCGCTCATCATACCATGTCCGTTTCACCTGAAAATATAAAAAACCTGAGCAAAATTGGAGGGTCCCTTGCCAGGTAAGAGCCTGTGAGGAATGATGGGTCATCCATCAGGTCCTGGCTGGTGTCGCCGAATCTTCTTCAGGGATGGTGGGAGGCATTTGGTGAGCCTGAGAGAGGTAGGTATTGCAGTGAAAGTGAGAGGACATGTTAGAATGTGCTGTTATCCAAGTGAAAAGAGAAAGGGACAGAGCAGTGGAAGCCAGGGATCTGGAGGTTGGAGAAAAGGCGGGGAGGGAGGGAGCAGGTCGTGCAGCCTGTTTCCAGGCCTCTAGCAGCTTGGATTATAAAACTGCTGCATTTTTTCCTTTGGGAAGGGTGGAGCGGGATGGGGTGAGAAGGCGCTGAGGTCAGAGTAGTTCTCAGTTAAGAAAAGGGGACAGTCGTGGAGGAGATAAGGAGATAAGGTGTTCACAGCGAGACTGAGGTAGGCCACTGAGGTAGGCGAGACTGAGGTCTGGGACAACAGGGCCCCATAAGGGGCCTCGAGGCACAGGACGATCGCCTTCCGTGGAAAAGGCGCCAGGACCACGGAGCCCGAAGCTCAGGCAGAACACAAACAAACCGGGCAAATATCGCCCTCAACCAATGACGCGGTTCGAACTCATCAAGGGAAGATAAATTCTACGCTATAACCCAACGA